TAAAACATAAGTGAGATAATAGAGCAATGTTTGTTTGGTTTCTTTTTATGTTGTCCATGGTTCCAATTAGTTATTTAAACTTTGTCAGAACAGTTGTTAAATTATTTGGTGTATTAAAATTTTCTTTCACAAATGATTTATAATATCTTCTTTCCATGTTTGTTTACCTTATCTGTTATTAAGGTTTTTCCCTTGCCTTGTGGTTGCAGAATTTCTAATGAGATGTCATGGTTATTGTCACTGCCTATGGAAAAGCTGTCAGCCTAAAGATTTGGAAAAAATAAATGATTTTCTTTTAAAAGAAAGTCAGTATGTACACATGTTTTATAGTAAAACGTAGCCATTCAAGTTCAAAATATTCATTTTTTTTTGTTAAATTTGAGGTATCATAGGACTTTAATAGTTAGACCTGGATACAAAAATGTCTTAAAATGTCATTTTGAGGTCAAGATCAAGGTCAGGAGTTATCAACTAGTAGTCAGCTTTTCTGTGTTAACATGAAATATCTATGGTCTTAGCCTGAATTTAAGGATGTTTGCTCCTCTTGTTTTTGAATTTTTGCCAGATATTCGGAATCCTCTGGTTTTATCCATGCAGTGCCATTAAATATTTTGCCCGCAAACCCCTACTTTTTTTTCATATTTTTATTACATATAGTTTAAAAAGCCATATTTGAAAACCTTATAAAATTCTTGTTATTTTTCATAGTTTTTGAAAGAAAAAAAGTGCCAATGTTAAATGTATGAAAAATTTAGAGAGAATCACTTCCCGCCAAGTTTTCAATGGCTTATATCTTGAAAACATGCATTCTGAGAGTATTGCATGGCAATACATAGTCCCCTACCTGTTAAAAATTCATTGTATAGGAACAAAATGCTAACTTGATCTAAAACTTGTCATGGTGTAACTATATAACAAATATTAAGTCAATATCTTCAAGCATGACGAAAAAAAAGTGTTGAAAACTGATTATTTAAGTGAATTTTCTAAGTCCAAGGACCTTAACTCTGCACATAATCATCAGACCGGAACAAAATTCAAACTTGATCTGTAACTTGTCATGATAAAACTATATAACAATTATCAAATCAATATCTTCAAGCATCAGGAAAAAAGTGCGGAAAAATTATTATTTGAATGAATTTTCCATGTCCGAGGTCAATAACTCTGCACAAAATCATCAGACCGGAACAAAATTTGAACTTGATCTGTAACTTGTCATGATAAAACAATACACCAAATATCAAATAAAAAAAAAGTGTGGAAAACTGATTTGCCGGACTGACGATGGACAGACAGACGGACAGAGTGCAAACCTAAAGTCCCCTTTGACTTCGTCTGTAGGGGACTAACAAGCACATGGACCCTTCATTTTTTTCTGCTTTTTAGTTCCTTTATTCATATACTTTAAATTTATAATAGTCTTTTAAAAAGCTTGTTATTTTGAAACAGAGTAGCAAACATCCTTAAACAATTTTTTGGAATTTTTGGTTTTCAATGCTGTTCAAAATCATTATTATAGACTTTCAACTGCATAGATTTCAGCACCATTGATAAATCTTTTGTACACTAAGCATGTGTGTATCTTGCTTACAAAATTATAAGCCTGGTACCTTAAATGAGTTTTCTGGCCTTAAATTACCTATAGATCTGAGGTCAATTACAATTCATCAGATTTGATTTTTTGATTTTTGATTTTTAACGCCACTTTTAAGCACCGCTTTTCGGCTATTTCGTGGCGGCCAGTTTTTATTGGTGGAGGAAGCCGGATTGCCCGGAGAAAACCACCGACCTTCGATAGGAAAACTGACAATCCTAGTCAATTAAGATCAATTCATCAGAATATCCAGTAATATTTGGTTAAAAAAGAAGGTCCGTTAAGGGGTAATTTTGGCCTAAAATTTGAAGTACATCTGATGAAAGATTTTTGACATTTTTTAAACACTTAAGTGTCTATGGCAGTCGATTCATTTAGTTTATGTAAAAGATTTGAACTGATTTTGTTCATTAAAGACGCTCAAGTTCAAGCTTACACATGAAAAATCTATCAAATATGCCATAAAACATCACTTTTCAGATGGTTTTTGCCTAAAATGTAAATGGTCTCATTCATGTTCAGTCGCAACCTTTATATATGTTATGTATTATCATCAAATGCAACATATATTTAGATATCAACGTTGCCACTTCCATTTCAGACAAAAACCGTCTAAAAATTTGCACATATGCTTAAATTGTGAAGATTTCAGTAATTTTGCATGAATTAATGATGCTATTACTTGATGCATGTGTATTGTATTGTCAAAAAACAGTCCATATTCATGTAACAAAAGTATTCTACTTTCCAATAAATAGCTAAAAGTTTACATTTTTAACAAATTTGTAAAAATGCTATATTTTAGGGCCAAAAAGGGGTCTTACCGGGCCTACTCCTTTGTAGATAAATTACATGTTAAATGGCAGTTGAATGATAAGACGTAAAATTATAGCTTACATGGCCATGAACAACTAAAAAATATAAATAAAAGGTTACAATCCCAAACACTTGCAATTAATATTCAAGAAACATTTACAACAAATCTAATTTTCTAGCTACAACAATAAGAAAGAAAAAAACGTTATTAGGTGGTAAACCAAGCATAAAATCAAAAATAGCTAATCACTAATGAAGGCAAGGAACAATAATCAAGTAATTCATTACTATATCCCTTCATTCAAAGAAGGCTTATGTTGGACAAAGACAGATTAAGGGAACCAAATCAAAATGGCAGGTCATTTATTCTATGAGAATATGAAACAGAAAACTTAATACTAGGGATTCTTCGTTTTTCAGACATCTTCAAGACAGATTGATGCCAGACAAGACAATCATTTTACTTACAATATTTCCACAAATACTTTGTGTGTCAATAACCCAATTATACTGCCATATATAATCAAATTTAGAGTTTGGAAAAGAAGAAATAGATCATGATTTATTTAACATTTCAATTGAAAAATCATGTTGTCATGAAGACATTTTTGATGATCACTTTTGCTGCTTACTGTTACTGTTATATTAAAAATAGTTTAAAATAAAGACAGAGAACTGAAATTATAAAAAAAACTAGATGTGTCGGAACGACACGAATGGCCCCGTCTCAAAAAGTTGAAAAATCTGCAATTTCAACAAAACATGTGGACACAAACATGCATGGATAGTGTCCAGCTCTCAAGAACAATACTAGTTTGAAGAAAAATTTCCTTGATCAATGAGTAGTTAAATTTCAAACTATCAGCAAACAGGAAGTGGATGTACTGAAGATGTGTTGAAACGACATGAAAATCAGCATATCGGAACTAAGCATAAACTTGATCTGTAACTCATCATTGTATACTCACATATCAAAAATCAGCGCAAAATTCTGAAGGCGTATAGAAAAAAAGTCTGTATAACTGTGATTTTCAACTATTTATCAAAGTCCAAAGCCCATAATTTCGGCAAAAATTAGCAGAGCGGAACGAAACTGAAACTTGAACTGTAACTCATCATGGTTAACTCACATACCAAAAGGTCAAAACCCGTAATTACGGCAAAAATCAGCAGAGCAGAACGAAACTTAAACTCGATCTGTAACTCATTATGGTTAACTCACATACCAAAAATCAGCCCAATATCTAAAGGCGTTTAGAAAAAAAAAGTCCGTATAACTGTGATTTTCAACAATTTATCAAAGTCCAAAGCCCGTAAATCAGCCCAATATCTGAAGGCGTTTAGTTCAAAAGTCCGTATAATGGTTTGTAGTGGAATGACGGAATGACAGAATGACAGAATGACGGAATGATGGAATGATAGAATGATGGAATGGTGGAATGACGGAATGACAGAATGATGGAATGACGGACAAGGGTAAAACTATGTTGCCCCGACAACTTTGTTGCAGGGCCATAAAAATAAATCATCATTTAAAGGCAATATCTCCTACAGGAATCAATTGATGGTTTCAGTCATATGGATTCAATAGATCCTGTATTGCTAGAGTTTTTGCATATGCATGAAATATTTGCCATCAGACAAAGCAAGCTTTTTTTGCCATTTCTCTCTGTCTATTATCGTTTTAAAAGATAATTATATATATAGACAAAAATGCCATAATTGGTACAAAGTTGTTGCTAAAGGCTAATATTGTTTAGAAAGAGTCAACTGATTGTTTTATTTAAAACACCATACTGTGTATGAGGATCTTTTAAAGCTCATAATTTTGATGGTTACAAATTCTGTGTTTTTATTATAGTTTCCAAGATAGTATGTAATTTATGGAATTCAGTCATTTTTCTTAGTTGTACTGATCATTTTTCTGTTTATAGTTAATCCACTAACAGTAGACAACAAGAGGCTCCCAAGAGCCTGAATTACTCATCTGGTAAAAATTTGCCATTTTGATATTAATTTTATGTTTATTGCAATCACTTATATAAAAATAAGAAGATGTGGTATGATTGCCAATGACACAACTCTCCACAAGAGACCAAATGACACAGAAATTAACAACTACAGGTCACCGTACAGCCTTCAACAATGAGCAAAGCCCATACTGCATAGTAATCTATAAAAGGCCCAGAAATGACAAATGTAAAACAATTCAAACGAGAAAACTAACGGCCTAATTTATGTACAAAATAATGAACAAAAAAAAAACAAATGTGTTACACAGCAACAAACGACAACCACTGAATTACAGGCTTCTGACTTGGGACAGGCACATACAAAATGTGGCAGGGTTAAAGTAGTTTGAAGGCACCAACCCTCCCCTTAACCTGGGACAGTGGTGTAAAAGTACAACATAAGAACAAACTATAAAAATGTTTACTTATTTGTAAATCTTACTTAAGTGTTATATATGTAGACTATATAGTATAGTTTATACTTATCTATTAAAAATTATAGAAACTAGTAAAAAATCATTTAAGGATAAACAAATACTATAAGGATACTGACAAGTTTGGCCATTCTGACTTACCAATTGTAGATCTTACTGTGCTGAACATTCTGCTATTTGCTGTTCCTCTATTTCTTTTAAAATTCCTACAAAATACAGAAAAATGATCCAAACAAATTTTTTTAAGGGCAATAACTCCTCTAATGGATCAATTACTGATTTCAACCATGCTGACATATAATTTGTTGAACTTTTTTTCTATTTTTTAAAAAGGAAAACTAATGGCCTGATGTACATACAAAACAATAAACAAAAGACAAATATGGTATACAGCAACAAACTACAACCATTGAATTACTGGCTCCTTACTTGGGACATGCACATGCAGACTACCTTAATTTGACCTTGACAGTGTGAACTTTGATGGAACCATGTTCCTGTGTCATTCAAATAATACCTTGCAATTAAAACAGCCCTTGTATTTGATGTCATTCAGCAGACATTATCTCTCTGGGGAACCATTTAGATTGATTTATTGGTGTTTAACGCCACTTTCAGCACTGTTGTACTATTTCGTGGCGGTCAGTTTTTTAATGGTGGTTGGAGCCAGAGAGAACCACACACCTATGGTCACAAAACTGACAATCCTAGTTAAATTAAGTTTTGAGTCAAGCATTCCTGCCATATGAGGGATTTGAACTCACAGCCTCAGTGTTGACAGGCTAGTGATACAGTAGTTTGACTACTTAGACCACTCTGCTACTGAGGCCTCGGAAACATTTACGGCTTGCCTGGTCTGCCAAAATGTCCAATTATAGATTTCTGACAAATCAATGTCCTAGTTCTTGCAGATCTAAACTGACCTGGCTATGAAATACTTCTTGTGTGTTTCTGATCTACCTATGGATGCATATATATGGGCTAGGATGAAATTTGAAAAAAAGGCAGGTCAGGAGTTTTGAGTAAAAAAAAAGGCAGGATGAACAACTTGGCAAAAAAAAAAGGCAGGATGACAATTTATGTAAAAAAAGTCAGGATAAACTAATAAAAAAAAAGGCAGGACCGAATAGAGTGAAAAATAAAAATGCAGGACAGAGATAACAACTAAAAAAAAAATGCAGGACAAAATTTTTCATCCTAGCCCCCCCCCCCCCCCCCCCCCCCCCCCCCATAAAACATGTAAAAATCAAATGGTAGCTCCTTAAGAATAATAGATGATTGTAGACTTTTCCAATTTTCCAAATTATGCACAAAGAAGGATATTTATCTGGTCCTTGTGAAAAATAAATCATTGTACATTATACTTTAAATGATTTGGTAATTTAATTACAAGAAAGACAACACTGTATGATCTGTTACAGAAAGTGTAATGTAAATAAGCTACTATTTATTATGTTTATAATAGTACTACATCATTGAATTTTGTCAATTAGCCATGCTTTTATTTTTAAGCTTTGTGAGAACCTTGCAGATGAAAATTCATTTGCCATGTTCACGATTTTTTACAATTCTGACAAACACACAGAGGAAAAATACAACTAAATTGTTCCAAACAAGTTCAAAATTTAGCATGTCCCAATAATCATGAGAAAAAACGATTTTGATTGGCTTATTAATTTGATCATGAGAAACACAGATTTTGATTGGCTGATTACGATTGTCTTCCCTTGGGAACAGTTCAAAATCGGGAACAGTTCAAAATCGGGAACAATCATTTTTTTTCATGTAGAATTTCACAAAATCGTGTTTTAGAGCTTTTTTCACGATCACGATCGTGCAATGGTGACAAGGGGTCAAAATCGTGTAGTACACACCTAAATCGTGAAAGTTGGCAGGTATGCCGTTTTATTTTAAGTGACATGTTTATTGCCCAGTTAACACCTTTGATGATCTTTAATCTGTCAACCTTCAATCTCGGTTTAATCAGTATCATAACTTATGATTACACGTGTGCAACAATTAAAATTTTTACTTTGCAATTTCAATTGAGAAAATTTGTAAGCATAGAAGTATCAGTTTTTTGTGAAAGCAATTATTTCATAAAAAATTATGAATGTTGTCAGTAATGAAAGACAGTCAAGTACATGAAAATGAACACCTTATTTTGTAATATCCCACAAATTATTATCAAACAACATATGACTCTTCTAGAAAATCTTTGTTTTGAGATGCTTCAAATTCTTCCCTCATTTTTGTCTTCAGAAAACTAAAATCCATGAATTTCAGAACCCACGAACATGTAACTTTTTCTCAAACCAAAAATAAAAGTACTTTCACAGCATAGATTCCACCACTGCAACAAGTGTGTTACAATATTTCTCCACTCGAGACAGTTAAATTTTAATATTTAAAGCGTGAGGCTTGCCATGATTTTTAAATAATTTAAACTTAAATTTAAATTCTCTGTTGAGAATGGAGAAATATCGTAATACACAATTTATAGTGGCGGAATCTGTTTCTCTAATGATTTTTATCCTTCCTTTTTAAAGATTTGCAGAAAGTTGTGTTCTTTTTATGTGACATCATCAGGCATGGTCGTCTTTTTTCATGAAGTTACAATAGGAATTTCAGAAGAAACCAAAAAATTTGAAGTCATAATTAAATTTCGACCAATCATTTGCCGAGAACAGATATTTCACTAGTGAGGAGAACAATTTTTTCACAATCGGTTGGGAAATGTGACAATAGTGAATAAATTAGAGAAAAAGTATGGAGGGCCAAGTTTAAATCTGAGATACTGTGGGAGAGTATAAAGATTTTTTTATAAAGTAGGTTACTTTAAACTATGTGTCACATATCATTGACAAAAATCAAGTTTAACATATGATTTTATGTCTCAGATAATAATAACATACAATCAAATAAAGGATGCACTTAAAGGGATATTAGACAATATGAAAAAAATTCAGAGACACGTGCCTGTGATAATAGAATGTGCATAAAAAATGCAGGAATTCATTGTTATAGACAAATATATGAATTTCTGCAAGATTCCTTTTGATTATTTCAGATATTATCTAACTTGCGCTGTCAGATTCAAATACAGATTCCAATAGCTAAATACAATATAAAGTAAAAATGTACATAAGCAATTAAATACAAAATTCATTTGCAGTTATACTTTAAGACGAGTATTTTCATTAATATATCTCTTATATCAAGTATAACAGAAGCAATATCTGAATGATTTACTCTGGTTTAATGGTTTAATATCTTTTATTGCAGTGAAAAGAAATGTCTAAATGCAATTCACACATAAAATGCATAATAGAAACTGTGATTGTTTCCTGATACAATGATATGTTTTGGTAATTTAGTATTATGCAGCATATATATCTATTATTATCTTTGACATAGGAGATATTTTTAATGCTGAAACAAAATCTTTACATCCCATTGCCACTCCAGAAGTTGAAGTACTTGTGTTCATGGAAATTGTAATCACAGTGAGACAAACCAACACTGATCCTCCATATACAGACAATCCTGACAATGACACCCAAATTGACCCTGTAGATACCAAAATCAATTATCTTTATTTGATCCCAACAGGCTTTGGGTTTTCAATGAAACAGTGATAGTGTATTTGGGTTTCAATCCTATGAAATTGAAAGATCTTTAAGAACATTTGTGACATGTTAGGCCAAAACTTGCTCAGTTGTTTCACTAGAGGAAATTTTGATAGTTTTTACTCATAACCTAATTTCAAGAATGACTATTACTTCTCTTAAATATATAATTAGAAAAGACAGGAGATGACCATCTTGTAACTATTCATGCAACATTTGTTAAAATTAATGAAATCTATTACATGGTTTTAATAATTTCTGATTCTAATAGCTGTGTTAATAAGCATGATAAAGTTTATTTGCTTTAGTTGTAACTAAAACCACAAGGAATCACATAAGAACAAAAGTTGTGGTACTGTTTATCATGTATGAACTATTGAAAGCCAGCCTTTAAGTAATGGGATTAAGAATACAGTTCTGAAACTAGTAAATGTGCTCACAAAATTCATAGCCCTGTCTCCTATATGTTTAGATATGGTGAAGTCACTTGGTTTCTGATTGATAGTTGTCACATTGGCAATCATCCCACATCTTCTTATTTATATATTTACTGTAGGAACCCTAAACATAGCAGAAGAATAATCTGCTTAGCCCAGTTTGGCATGATGACCTCTTGACCCAGGTCACAAATTTTGGTCTGAAAAAACTAAAAATAGACCAATAAACCATGAAAACGAGGTCAAGGTCATATTAAAAGGACAAGAACATTTGGTATTTGTTTTTCGTTTATTGTTTTGTATATAATTCTGGCAGTTAGTTTTCTCATTTGAGTCTATTGTTTTACATTTGTCATTTGGGGACTTTTATAACTTGCTATGCGATGTGGGTTTTGCTCATAGTTGTTAATTTCTACGTCATTTGGTATCTGGTGGAGAGTTATTTCATTGGCAGAATACCACATCTTCTTATTTTCATATAGACACCTTACAAAGATACTATACACCCAATAAAGTTGACCTAATTTACTCAAAACAGAGGTCTCCTTAGTCACTAAAAACATAACATTGATCATTGAACCATGAAATGAAGTCAATGTGAGGTTACCATTGTCTGATAGGTAAGTTCACATTTTAACTAGAGGCTCTGAAGAGCCTGTGTCCCTCACCTGTATTTACTGATGCTTTGGAAATCATGTAAAATAAGGTTAAAATCATAATTAATAGTATTAGATATGAGATATTATAATGATATCTAAGATAATAACAAAAAACTGCAAAAATTCTGTAAAATTACTAACTCAGGGGCAGCAACCCAACAACGGGTTGCCCGATTCGTCTGAAAATTTCAGGGCAGATAAATCTAAATCTGATGAACAGATTTGCTCTAAATGCTTTAGCTTCAGAGATATAAACCAAAAACTGCATTTTACCCCTATGTTTTATTTTTAACCATGTCGACCATGATGGTTGGAAGGCGGGGTCATCGGACAAATTTTTTAAATTAGATACCCTGATAATGATTATGGCCAGGTATGGTTAATTTTGTCTCAGTAATTGTAAAAGAATACAAAAATTTAAGAAAAATTGTTAAAAATTGACTATAAAGGGCAATAACTCCTAAAGGGGTCGACTGACAAT